TATATATATATATATATATACATGTAAGAAAAATAAAGATTAAATTATCAGCGAAATTAAGTCCCTTCAACAACTTACTAAAAATAGTAATCTCTATTTTGCGCTGCGTGATTTCGAGAAAAATGTATGTCATATGACTCTTACATAATTCTGATGATGTAAATGAAACTAAACCCAAAATTTAACCAATCACAGATTAGCTATACTTTGTGCAGCTATCTTGTATAAATAGCTAATAATTGCGTAGTCTTTCGCCTCTTCGCCTGCGTTCTGACAGCTTGTCATCCAAACTCTGCTAGCTATTCGCCATTATTTAAAATATAGTAATTGCATATCTAAAATTAAGGGGCGCGTTTAGCACCCCTGGTCTTCTACAGTTATGGATTAAGAAATTCGTCATTCAAGAAAAAATAATGTTTTAACTATCAAGCTGCTCGTGTTTCTAAAATTTCATCCGATTATCCATTACGCCATAATACCCAGTTATCTATCTAGCAGTTTTTACGGTCACGGCTGAACGTGAACTGTTTTCATCTTCCGCCAAAAGTACAATTATTATCAGACATATATATATCTGAATGTTTTACAAATTTCTTACATATACATTTATATAAATATTCTCTCTCTCTCTCTCTATATATATATACATTTATGTAAGAAAAGTAAAAATATACTTTAAATTAGCAATAGTCCATTACTCCTTAATTTTAATTTGAGTATTTTCCCTCTCTAGTCTAACAATAGTAATCTTTTTCTGCATTGCGTCATTTCGAGACTAATCTATGTAACATGACTCTTACTTTTACACAACACTGCTGATGTAAATGGATACACAAACAGCCAATAATAATTTTACAGCACTATTAATTATCCAATCAAATGCACTGAGAACCGAAACTAACTCATTCTGAGTTAAGACTTCATCCTGAACACAACTTACTTGCATTCTGCATTTAGACCTAGATAAATTGCAGCTTGCTTCTTTTCTTTTTACCGCAAAGCTATCCAAAATGAAAGCGTGTAGAAATAGGCAGGGATTAGAGTGCCAAGTTGTTTGTAACCCCAAAATATTTACCGAAACAAAATGAATATTTAGTCTGCCTCCGCTACGAAGTTGCCCTTCATTGTTGATCAACAACATTACAGCTAAGTTCTCTTCATTACAACGAGTCGAACAGGATGCCGTAAGTGCGGGTAAACCAACAGAAAGTTTCATTACTGAAATTCTATGTCAACAATATTGCAGCATCTGTGATTTAACTAGTGCTTTGCAATTAATTTGTAGAGGTTACTTTAAGTTTCTAACAGGTATTTTAAGTTTAAACATGCTTTACAATCTATTCTCGTTTCCCATTTACTATTCCCTACCAGAATGAGTTTTTAGTATCGCGTTTTATGCAAATGAGTTAGAAGGAGTATTATGTACGCAACGAGAAATGGTGTAACACCAGGGTACCTGGGTCATAGCTCCATTCGAAAATAGGCTACTTCGAATTACCATACAAAAACATAACTGAGAAGATATATAAATATGTATAAATTACTGAGCTTTTTCTCCCTAACTAGTGAGCTTAATAAGTGCAGTTAAAGAATATTTAGAACAAGTTGTAGCGTACCAGTCGAAAGAAGTGGAAAATGCCATCTGACAGCTACAGAAGCCCGTCGAGCTAGTGAGAACGATAATGACATAATTCAGAAGTTAATCTCTTGCTGCAAATTCCATCAATTTCTGGATAGCTTGTAGGCTAGACCTCGCTTTGTATAAGAAGTTAGCACTCTGTGACTTTGTCACTGGGTCGTGATTTGCTTGATTTTTGTACTGGCGGGCTTTCAACTTTAAGAAGTTTCGGGAAGTTAGCGAGCGAGGGTTCAGAAGCTGGTATCCGCTGAGCCTTGTGCTGCTTTCTCTGCTCAAACCTTCCTTTGTAAACTTTACATCCACGAAAGCTACTGACATGTTCCTCACCGCAAAAAATGCAGCAAAAATACAGCAAAAAGGCGTGGCTTATCCTCTGGTTTTCTAGGGCACATATTACTGAGGAGAAGACCTCCACACTTCACACCACCGCTCCGAATTGTTGCATAAGTGTTGCGAGTGTTCGTACGCCTGGCAACAAAAGCATTGCGTACGTCTCTTCCTTGGGTTATATTTTTCTATGTGAACATCGAAGCTAAACATGTCGTTTAGGTGGAATATCTGGTTGCCTTCCGCGTTTCTTTTTAACTCCGCTTAAGAAGAATATAGAAGTGTTAAGGAGTATTAAGGAGTGTTCAGCTTACTTCGAGAGAGAGCTTTGGAGTCCTTAGTGGCGCTTGTTTGCCGTCTGGCTACATCGTTCTTAAATCTATTATAATCGGCTGTACTATACGTACCTGTCTCCGGCTAGGTTAAGGTAAGGGCCAACAGCATTAGGTATATGTGTCTAGCTTCGGCTATGTCTGTTTAAGTTTATTATTAGATTAGTTTCTTATCTTGAGTTAAAAGCCCGAATGGAGGCTTTCCTGTAAGCTCGAGAAGTAAGTCTGTTATTATTTAACCCTTCCCTGGACTTGCTTATTATATACATGAACTCAGCGTCACCCAAATCGCTCTACAATTCGTAAGCTACTTTTTAAGTTCTACACAGACAAAGTACCGAAGAACATTATAAATTAGTTCTTAAAACTCAGTAGGAGTATTTAAAATCAGCTGCAAAATGATTCAGAATTCCATTCCTCAGTCTGCTTTTATAAGAAGTGTTTTTAACTATCATATATTTTCGAAAATATACAAATATTTTCGTACACGTACGTTTTTGCATGGAAAATTAACAGAGGTCATCAAGTGTCATTTACTACGCACGTGTGAACTGCGGGAAATGCTTATCACCCGTTTCTGATTTTCGCATTTTCAATATACGACCTTATAGGTATTTTTTCCATAATTATTTTCTTTTCTTTCAAACTGTATTAAATTATTCTTTTTTTTTCAGTGAAACGAAACTGATGCTAGTGCAGTGGGTTTTAAATCTTGCACTGTTTCAGTAAAATTTTTACAATTTTTTTTTTTTTTTTTTTTTTTTTTTTTTTTTTTAGAAAACGAAAATGTTTAAAGAATGAAATCACAATTATTCTATCGTTTTCATTTAATGGTTTCTCATTTATTAATTGTTTTGGTGCATTTTATTTTATATTTTTGCTAATAGAAAATGTTTAAATTTTTTCACAACTATGAACTAATAATTTATTAATTAACTGATGTTATTTTAAAACTTTTAATATTTAATACAGTTTCTTATACTAGATTAAAAGTATAGCATTGTTTATGAAAAAAAAAAATTAAAAATTTATGGTATTAGAAAATATAAATTTAAGTAACTATTTTTTCAATTAATTAAGTAAAGCATTTTAATATTTTTTCAGAGACGTAATGTCATTAATCAGTATATTTTGAATTATTTTTAAAAACGTTTGAATTAATGTTAAGAATATTATAGTTATTTTGAGAATGAAGTAAATACAAAAATAAGTCAATTAATTTCGAATACCACTACAGAAAATGAATGTAAAACAGTGTTTTTTTTTAAAAAATATTGAAAATATGTAATATTTTGATAATAAATTCTGTTATAATAAATAAAAAAATATCAATAATTTTACAAACTGAGTAAATATAAAAAACTTATTATGAGTAATGTAATTTAAAAGTGAATTAATGCAGATAAGCATTGTGAAATTATGGTAAATGAATGTGAAAATTTGTCAATAATTATACGTTAAATATAGAGTATGTTGAGGGAGATTCGGCTGATTCCAAAACAAAAGCCTATTATTACCTCTTTAAAAATTTCCCTTTTGCCCTCCTCATGTAAAATAATATCGAAGGCAGTAGTAAGCGCCCGTAACCAGGCGGCGGAAGTGACGTCACAGAAAAGGGGCGTGGTCGTCGCCATCTTGAATCACGTGACAACCGGAAGTGACGTAGTTGGAAGGAATGACGTAGACGGAATGACATCATCAAAGTTTCGTTTTTATGGTGTGGCAACGATCTTTTCAAAGTTTTTATTTTTTGTGGCATCGACACTATTTTTTATGTTTATGGCAACGGTTTTCTTGAACTACGTGTTTGGAATGACATCACTTTTAATTTATTATTTTTAATTATTTGACATGTGATTAATATTATTTTGATATTTGATTAATTTTTAATACGTCATTAATTTTAACTTTTTAATTATTAACTATTATTTTTAACTATTTAGTACATCATTATTTTACTTATTACCTTTAATGAATTTTTGTGGAAATTAATATTATTTTCCCTGAATTTTAAAAGTAACTCCACGGCTGAGATTCGAACTCGCTATTTCTGGGATGGGAGTCTAGCGCTTTACCGCTCGGCTAAGCCCTTCATGTTATCAAACTTGTTATTTTTCCGTTTGGAGCGAAAATCACCATGACGTCAATAGGCTGGGGGGGAAACAGGCAAACGTCATCTCTTTCACGTTGCAGCTTGTCGAAACCGCTTCACGCTTTCTACATCCGCCGTGGCGAACGTATACAATCTTAACAACCAATAAGCATTCCGCTAACAATATCTATCTTATTTCAGCCAATCAGCGTGTTTGTTTCTTATACATCGCCTATAAATTCGCTCCCTTTCACGATTTCATCATCATTTTGTCCAATCTGTGTTTTACAGAAAGGATGAATTTGAATATTTTGTTTAGCTAATCTGTTGCACTTAGTTGTGCCATTTGTCTTCATTTAGATCGCGATATTAGCTTAATTATTCCAATCTAGATAACCTGTTTCAAAACTTGATAATTATTAATATTTCCAATATTTCTCATTGTACGCGCAAGCTGGTGACCACCCACGTGACAGGCTCCTGCCAATCATCTCTCTTACTCCACCTACATTTCACAAAATTTGACAAGTTTCGCCTAGTTGGCGCGGCGTAAATCGCCTTAATTAAAAACTTAAGTACCAACGCCTTAGGGCAATTTACCAACAGAGACGGTTAAAGTAGCGGTTGGCTACTAATTGCCGCCTAGCCATTGACTCGATTTCGATTTCATCATTTCTACTGATTCTTGCTGAGTGAACGTCATTTTGACTCTGTCATTTTCCTGTGCCATTTCGTTTTCTTGTACACGATGTCTGCTAAACGAACTTATTCTGCATCTAATGTAAGTATTTTTTCGCTTGTATTTAATGTCTAGATTACTATTTTAAACACGAATTTTATTTCTTTTTGAATGTTTTATTTATTTAAATTTTTAATTGCCAGGTCCTGTTTGAAGATCCTGACTTTCCTTTTCGGGACTCTGATGACGATGTAATTTTTTACACGTATTTTTAACTCACTTTTTTATTTAAAGTATTTTATTACTATTTGAATGTATTTCAAACGTATTTTATTTTATTTTGATAGTTAATCGATGAAGTGGATCAGATTTTTCTGGAAAATCCTATGGATCTACCCTTGTATTATCAAGTGGGTTCCGGATTTGAGGTAAATTATTAAGTATATCTTTATTTAAGTATTTCAGCATTTTTAGATTCTACTAGAATACTTTTTTCTTAGTACTAAAATTAATGTATTTATTTATTTTTAGACTTCTCCGTCATCAGCTCGTGGGTCTGTTTTTATGGCTGGTTCCGATGAACGTTCGGTGTGTATTTTTCTTTTTTGCATGATTTATTAAAATAATGTCTTTTTGAAAATGTTTGATTATTACTGAAACTTATTTTTATTTTTCAGATCGATGAGGCGATTGTACTAACGGAGAAGTCTCGTCGGCGAAATCATAAGTACCAAGCCGAGGAGATTACCTTCCGGGCCAGTATAGATATGGAACGGATGCCTCTGAACATGCTAGGTGTTCCGATGGTTCGAATTCCTGATACCATCCGGGAACTATTCGAGCAACTTATTCGCCGGACGACAGCCCATTTGGGACCCTCGGACCTCATCCGATTCTGCATCCAAGCAGAAGGGTTGGACAAGCCTATCAGCACTTCCTTAATGGCAGTTTCGACCTTAACAGTCGAAAAGATTTTGGCTGCTGTGATGAAAGTGCTGCAGTCCAAGGATAAAATTGAGCTAGACTCAGGATTTGCGGTGGACGTGATCACCATCAGGCGACCTGTGGGCGCCGGTGGTAATAGGAAAGTCATCAATATCTCCGTGGATAGACTGAAGATGCCAAGATTTCTGCGCCTGGCAATTTTGTCCATACCCTACGATGAGGAAGGACTGTGCTGTGCCAAAGCCATTGTGTATGCCCTCGCACATCTGAATGAGGAGAAAGCTGCTATTAAGACCATGAAAGATCATCGTCGACCAGCCCTCGTGAAGCGAGCAAGAGAGCTCCATATGGCTGCGAATGTTCCTTTAGGCCCCTGCACGTTTGCGGAGATAGCCATATTTGAAGATCACCTGATTACTCAAATTGCCGTCTTCTCATCGGAAAACTTGAACCGAGTAAGTCATTATTTTTATCTCAAGATATTTCTGTTTTTTAATATGTTTTCATATCGTAACTTGATTTTAGTTCTTTTATAATTTGTGGCTATATGATAAAAATTTATTTGGGTACATGAATAATTTTTAAAAAATACTTTTTAAAATTACTTTAAAAAATTAAATTACTAGCAGAGTTTATGATCATTTCGTACTTTCCATGTTAAAAAATATCACTTGTAAACATTAAATGCGTAGTGAAATTTTTAGATTAACTTTAATACTGTATACAATTTGTTTCGATGTTAAAATATAATGGATGAAAATTGAACGCATGGTGAATTTTTATTCTTAGAGAACTTTAACTTTTCAGAATACTTTGTATGTTAAAATTATAATGGGAGAAAACTGATTTCTAAAATGTCCGATTTTTGAATGATTTTTAGAGAAAAATTTCTGCATGATGCATTTTTCATTTCCATGTTAAAAAATATAATTTGTCAAAATTGAACGCATGGTGAATTTTTGACTTGCTCTAAATTTTAAGATTATATTTTATGCATATTCACGCATAGAATCCATGAATGTATGCAGTTCGCTTCGATGTTAAAAAATATACCTTGTAAAAATTAAATGCATAGTGAGATTTTAGTTTACTTAAAATTGTTAGATTAATTTCTTATTTTATGTATGCAATTCGTTAAAACTTTCACTTTAAAAATTTTTTATTTCAGAATACTTTAACTTTTTACATTTTATTTACATGTATGCACAAAGGCAATTTGTTTCTATGTTAAAAATATAATTTGCAAAAAGTTAACATTTAGGCATATATTTCTGATCATTTAAATGTTAAAACTTTAACTTGTAAAACTGAATGCATGGCGAATTTTTTAGATTGCGTTAAATTTTATGTATAAATGCATGCATGTATGCGTTTCGCTTCGATGTTAAAAATATGATTTGTAAAAAAAAAAATGCATGAAGAATTTTTTATTTTAGATTCATTTTATGCATGCACACAATTCATTAAGATGTTAAAACTTTAAACTATAAAAAATGAATTCACGATGAATTTTTTTTTGTTTTACTTTAACATATATGCATGTAATTACTTTCGATGTTAAATGCATTAGGAATTTTTAGATCGCTTTATGTATGCAATTAAATGTTAAAAACTGGTTTTACTTTGATTTTTTGGAATTTAAGAGAATTTTTTTTTTTTGTCTTGCTGTATCTTAGGTGGTCTACAAAGGAAGAGAGAGGGCACAACGGATCAATTTGTGGCTTCACGATGGACATTATGATGTCATTAAATCCCTGAAAGGGTTTTTTGGCAGCAACCATTATTGCACAGCATGTGAAAAGCCGTATGATCATCCGGAAAGCCATAGATGTGCCAATGCGTGCCCTATATGCCTAAGGACTGATTGCTTTCCAGGCGTACCCCAACGATGCCAGGATTGTGACCGTCTCTGCCGATCCGATGCCTGTTATGCAGCACACAAAGCCCTCACTGGAAACCAAGAGTTTTCACTTTGCGATAGAGTAAGTGTTTTGAAAATATATCTTAATGAACAAAGTTATTTATCATATAATTTTCTCAAAATTGTTATGTTTAAAAAAAAATATTGTCGTTACAGGTATACCAGTGCAGGGACTGCTGCCAAGTGATCCGGAGGCGGGATTGCCCTAAAGAGTTGCATAAGTGCGGAACCACCAAATGTCCGTCTTGCGGCCAGTTTGTCGTGGCTGCTGAGCACCGTTGTTATTTGCGACGTGTTGCTCCGAAGAAGTCTGATGACAAGTTCATCTTTTTTGACTTTGAAACGGACCAGTCTTCGGGGGAGCATCTCGTAAATTTCGCGGTGGCTCAGTATGCCGACGGCACAGAAAAAGTGTTTCCGGGCTACACGGCATGCCAAGATTTCTGCGCCTGGCTGTTCTCTACACAGCACAAGAGCTTCACCGCCGTGGCACACAACATGAAAGAGAAGTTAAAATACCATAGTTTGCATGCTTTTTAAGTACGACTATTTTTTCAATATTATTCATAATATTTTTTTTACTTACAGGTTTGATGGGCAGTTCGTGATGGCCTGGCTCCTGGAGCAAGGTACAGCGCCGGAGGTGATCCCTAACGGGTCTATGATCATGAGTGTAAGACACCCTAGTCTGAACATTCGGGTCATAGACTCGTTAAATTTTTTGCCGATGGCGTTGGCCAAACTACCGGGATGCTTCGGTCTCACCGAATTAAAAAGGGTTACTTCCCGCATCTCTTTAACTCGCGAGAAAATCAGAGTTATGTCGGACCGCTGCCTGAAACCCGGTACTACAGCCCGGATACCATGAGCACTTCAGCCCGACAAGCATTTCTGTCCTGGCATGAAGCACACAAGGGGGATGTGTTTAACTTTCAAGATGAGAGATGCTGGCCTATTGCAGGTATATTTTTTCCCTCCTTTTTTATTTATTTAAGATTTTGTTTATTTTTATTTTTTATATTTCGTATTTTTAACATTTTTCTTTTAATAGATCGGACGTGGATATTCTTCGTCGCTGTTGCCTGGAGTTTCGAGCCCAGTTTTTGGATGTGGCGGGTGTGGATCCATTCCAGTAAGTTATTTTCTAATTTATTTTATACAATAATGATCATGTTTACAGTTATGTTCTTATGGAATAATCATGCTCATGAAGTTGGTTTTTTTCTTTTCAGATACGTGACCATTGCGTCAGCCTGTATGGAAACGTATCGGAGTTGCCACATTCAGCCCAACACGATTGCCATGGTGCCCACACACGGCTACGTCAACTCAACGAATTACAGCCCTGATTCGATCCGGTGGTTGGACTTTGTTGCTGCTTCGGAAGGCATTGCCATTCAACATGCGTTGAACGGTTCCGGAGAGCACAGAATCGCCGGAATCTCGGTAGACGGTTTCTGCCAAGCAAACACAAACCGTCTATCAGTTTCAGGTAAGAAAAAGTAACCATTTCTTTTCTATATGATTCTTTTTAAATGATTTTACACTTTTAATGTTTAATTTACATGTGGAACACTATTAATATATTTGTATTATTTTAGGGCTGTTTCTTTTCTTCCACGGGTGTAGTTCCTGTTATGACGGTGATGTCATTCATCCACTAAAAGGGGTTTCCATGGCAACGTTGCGAGAGAAAACAGAAGAGACCACACGAAAGCTTCGCACCCAGGGTTTCCACGTCATAGAAATGTGGGAGCATGAGTTTCAAAGAGAGAAAAAGAGGAAAATCCAGATCTCCAAGCTTTCCTGGATCAACACCATCTGAGGGACCGGCTCAATCCTCGCGAGTCATTTTTCGGAGGACGGACCAATGCCCTCAAATTGTTCCACGAGGGAGACGCTAAAATATGTGGATTTCACATCCCTCTATCCATGGGTTCGTACTTTTTTATTATTTTAAAAACCTTTTCATGGATGATGTGTTTTTCTGATTTTTGTATGTTTTTTTTTTTTTTTTTTTTTTTTGACTTTTTTTTATTTCACAGGTGAACAAATATTGCGTCTACCCTGTGGGACATCCAACAATCATCACGGAAAGCTTTGGGGATGTAGAAATTACTTTGGAATTATCCAATGCCGTGTGATTCCTCCACGGAACCTGTATCTTCCGGTACTGCCCTATCGGTGCCGGAAGAAGCTCATGTTCCCCCTGTGTCGGACTTGCGCCTTTCTTCAACTGCAGTCTTCCTGTACCCACACAGACGACGAAAGAGCTCTTGTCGGAACGTGGGTATCGGAGGAAGTCAAGCTGGCGAAAAAGAAAGGTTACCGCGTCACACATGTAAGTATTCAAAGATTATTTTAAATCTTTATTTAGTTTCAAATTACTTTAAAATTTTTTTTTTTCATAACTGAAATTTATTCTTTATTTTCTAGATTTACGAAGTCTATCATTTCAAAGAATCGTCTACTTCCCTGTTTCGTTCCTACATTGATCTCTTTCTGAAGATCAAACAGGAAAGTAGCGGTTGGCCTTCGGAGTGTGTGACGGAAGAAGCCAGACTGAAGTACATTCGCCAGTATGAAGAAAGAGAGGGCGTCAAGTTGGACGCTGGAAAGATTTCCAAGAACCCTGGGCGTCGACAAGTTGCCAAGTTGGCCCTGAACAGTTTCTGGGGCAGGTAAGATGATTTCTTTTGTACTTAAACTTTTTGTAAACATTTTTAATTCTTTGTGATTTATGTTGGATTTTTTTTCAGATGGGGTATGAACGTCAACAAAGCGCAACTGACCTATGTACATACGGTGCCAGACTTTAATAAGATGTTGGCGGATCCTACTAAAAAAGTAAGTTTTCCTTATCGATTTTATTCCATCTATAACTCAAAGTGTTTCAAACTGTTAACTCATGAACTATTTTGAACTGTTAACTCATGACTCTTCTATTTTTTCAGATCAAAGATGTCTTTCTTCCCTTCCCACGCCTGAGGTGGCTGCCATTTCCTGGGAATCTGCGAAAGGAGTTTGTGCCGCAGGATGCCTCGACCAACATTTTCCTAGCGACCTTTTACGACAGCTTGGGCTCGTCTCAAGCTGTATAGTGAAATGGAGAAGCTTGGGTCGAGATGTCCTGTATCACGACACAGACTCCATCATCTATGCCTCGAATGGTTGCAATGATCCCCCCTTAGGAAACTTCCTTAGGAGAATTTACGGACGAACTGGATGGAGATGTCATCAAAACCTTCGTCTCTGGTAAGGACCTTTAAAAAATTTCCTTTATTTAATATGTACCAAAAATGTTTAATGTTTTTTTCTATCTCTTTTTTTCTCATGATGTTTTTTTTTTTCAGGAGGACCGAAAAACTACGCATACCAGACGGCCACTGGGAAAACCTGCTGCAAAGTCCGAGGATTTTCCTTGAACTTCCGGAATTCCCAGTTGCTGAATTTTGAAGCCATTAAAAGTCTGGTCTGCAGCCTCGACCGAAGTGAGATCATCTCTCTCCACAACCCCTGCAAAATCACCCGAGAAGCGAAGAGAAGAAAGGTGGTGAATAAACCCGAAACAAAACTGTACAGAATTGTGTTGAATAAACGGGTAATTCAAAAAGACTTGAGCACATTGCCGTATGGTCATTAGTATATTGAAGAACTTTTTATGTTTATGTTAGAACCTTATCTGAAAATGAAATTTTGTATAAAAATATATATATATATATATATATGTGCATCATGCATTTGTATGTGTATAAAAAAACTTATTTAGAAAAAAATAAACAGAAGTTTGAATGATAAAATTGTGTTTTTCTTATTTGAAAGGATTTCATGAAAGGTAAGTTTTTTCCTTAGAAAAATTGTTATATTTATTTTCAAAAAATTATGTTAACTTAATTAGAAAGAAATACAAACACAATAATCAGCCAATTAACATTTTATTCACGTATTCATTACAATTTCAGCCATAGTTTGGAAGAGGATTTTCTTTTAGGTCTAGCATACATAGTTTTTACATTCATTAAATGTTTGTTTTTCACAAAGTCTTGAGGAAAGTTGTTAACATTCAGTACATTTTTAAACTGTTCAAAGGCAAAAGGTTTTTGAGTTCTATTTCTCAACAGAAAGTTTATCAACTGAACAATGTCAGAGCCAGAAAACACATGATCATCCAGAATGAGTTCTTTATTCTGTGTCCAGGAAATCTGATGCTCTTTTAGAAAATCTATTATTTTCTGTGCCGTTCTTTTCTGCTTCACAGGAACTGTTTGCATAATTTCTTTTTCTATATCTTTCTCAGAACGTTGTTCAGGCGGTTGTTCTTCGGAAGTGTTCACATGAGGAAATGTAACATACTTTTGCAGAACCTGGATGTACAATTTAGACTTTTCTTCATCGTCCATTTTCTTTTTTAAGATGTTTTGAATTTGGGTATCTAAATCACTCAAATGTTCATCTTCAAATTGCTGCATACGATCCAGGGGTACCAGCGCAAATTTCTTACTGTGTTCCATGGATAAGGGAGGATAAGACACTGACTGCTGCAGGAATCAGGAAAGATAGGAAACCGTCACCTTTTTGAACCAAAAGACGTCTTTTCTTAAAAAGAGGTACTTTTTTTGTCCGCTAGTTTTCTTAAAGTTCTTTTAAAAGGGGCGAGTCGATTTTTGACGCGTTTGGTGATGGGTACGTTTCCTTTTAGAAGATTTAAAACACACTCACAAACTGATTTGATGAGATGATTCGGACACTTTTTCAGTACAGCTGCTTTTATTCGACTTTTTCCTAATAGTTTTAGATAATCCACATCCTTCAGATGAGACATGCTGATGACAAATGAGCTCTTTTTCTTGCACACTTTCTTTTATATAGGTAGCAAATGCAGCCGCTTTGGTTAAAGCACAGCAATTAAATCCTTTTGCATGAATCGAACATGTTAAAGAACTTTTCTTTTTTAAATTCTCTATCTTAGGACAGTCTAGATTTATGATGTCTCTACATAATAAATTTTCTAAAAATAATTTCTTTTCTAATCCTTTCACGTATATGACAGAATAAATAGATGACAAATATTGCAAAATAATACGAAGATGAGTATAAGGTAAAAACACCCTCACTCCAATTCACATGATGACGATTTCTTGTGACCCAAGCAAAACACTTTTGCTGAGATCGTGATAATGTTTTCCAAGGCTGAGGAGGTAAAAATGACCAGCAACTGTGATATCCTTCATGCACGGTGTAAAAAGCTAATTCTTTAACAATGTAACAATGAGGCATCCACTGAAAACCTTCGAAATCGATCACGATGGGAGAAGACATGTTAGCCATTCGACGTCTCAAACTGAAATGAACTATCGGGGCTGGTAGACATAGTATTTATCCCCAGGAAAGATGCCTGTACGAAGGCGAAGCGTTTCACTTGTTTCAGGTCGTAAATCAATCAACAAGTAGCTAAATGGAGTTGAAGTAGCATCCTGAAAAATTTCTTGAAAGGCCTTTACTTTTCCGGGGAACATTTGTCTAGCTAAATGCATAATTTGACTTTTATCTCTAGGATTTTTGTATAGGACAAGGTAATGGGAATTTAAATGAATATTTCTCTCATCTCCTTGCCTTGGTGAAAAAGATTTTGTGTTATAAAAACGACTGAAAGGTTTCGGTGATGACTTCCTTTTGTAAAAAGTTTGCTTAAGCGAGTATCACTTGCTAATTCAGACATTAAATCGTCTATGATAATTAAAGCAAGTCTGCAGGTTAGATGGTAATCCTTCTTCAAAATTTACGTTTTTCATGGAATTAAAAAGAG